GAGCTGGACAACTGTCTCTCTGTAGCTCAGCTGGTTAGAGCTCGACAACTGTCTCTCTGTAGCTCAGCTGGTTAGAGCTCGACAACTGTCTCTCTGTAGCTCAGCTGGTTAGAGTTCGACAACTGTCTCTCTGTAGCTCAGCTGGTTAGAGCTCGACAACTGTCTCTCTGTAGCTCAGCTGGTTAGAGCTCAACAACTGTCTCTCTGTAGCTCAGTTGGTTAGAGCTCGACAACTGTCTCTCTGTAGCTCAGTTGGTTAGAGCTTGACAACTGTCTCTCTGTAGCTCAGTTGGTTAGAGCTCGACAACTGTCTCTCTGTAGCTCAGTTGGTTAGAGCTCGACAACTGTCTCTCTGTAGCTCAGTTGGTTAGAGCTCGACAACTGTCTCTCTGTAGCTCAGTTGGTTAGAGCTCGACAACCGTCTCTCTGTAGCTCAGTTGGTTAGAGCTCAACAACTGTCTCTCTGTAGCTCAGTTGGTTAGAGCTCGACAACTGTCTCTCTGTAGCTCAGTTGGTTAGAGCTCGACAACTGTCTCTCTGTAGCTCAGTTGGTTAGAGTTCAGCAGGTTTGATTCCTGCCAGAGATTCTATAGTTGTATTTTTCGCAACTGTTCCTAAGTTAGGTCTAATAAATCAATGTATGAAAATTCCACCCGAAATTTAATCCTACCTTATATTTGTCGTAGTGTTAGACTTTGGTGAACAGTCGTCAAACTCGACTCCAGGTGCTGCCAAGGCCATCAGCTACGAGGTCATCCTCAGCCCAAGAGTGGAGAATGCCAGACAGCCACAGTTGACGCCTAAGAGAGAAGGGATGTTGACACGTCAGGACATTGATGAGAAGATTGCTGCCGCAGAAAGGAGAAGGAAGGTAAGAATTGAATTCAAGTGCATACTAGACATTGAACTAAACAAAATGTAGAACTAATTTTATTTATGCTGGACAGCTCTATCAGTCCTAAACTGTTCTCCCTAGAGGTCCAGTAAGAATCATCTCTTATTGATCCAGTGTTACTACAGGAGGAAACCTAAACTAAACTAACTTTATTTACACTGGATAGCTTTATCACTTCTAAACTGTTCTCCTTAGAGGTGCATTAAGAATCCTCTCTTATTGATCCAGTGTTACTACAGGAGGAATCCTAAACTAAACTAGCTTTATTTATACTGGATAGCTCTATCACTTCTAAACTGTTCTCCCTAGGGGTTCAGTAAGAATCATCTCTTATTGATCCAGTGTTACTACAGGAGGAAACCTAAACTAAACTAACTTTATTTATACTGGATAGCTCTATCAGTTCTAAACTGTTCTTCCTAGAGGTCCAGTAAGGATCATCTCTTATTGATCCAGTGTTACTACAGGAGGAAACCTAAACTAAACTAACTTTATTTATACTGAATAGCTCTATCAGTTCTAAACTGTTCTTCCTAGAGGTCCAGTAAGGATCATCTGTTATTGATCCAGTGTTATTTGTAACAGGAGGAAACCTAAACTAAACTAACTTTATTTATACTGGATAGTTCTCTCAGTCCTAAACTGTTCTTCCTAGAGGTCCAGTAAGGATCATCTGTTATTGATCCAGTGTTACTACAGGAGGAAACCTAAACTAAACTAACTTTATTTATACTGATTAGCAAATTAGCTCTATCAGTTCTAAACTGTTCTTCCTAGAGATGCAGTAAGAGTCATCTCTTATTGATCCAGTGTTACTACAGGAGGAAACCTAAATTAAACTAATATTATTTATACTGGGTAGCTCTATTAGTTCTAAACTGTTCTCCCCATAGGCGTACCGGGCGGGGGGGCGGGGGGGGGGGGGGGTAGCCCCCCCAGT